AATATAATTGATATTATTAATGTTTCCGTAATTATCAAAAAGTTAATTAAGAAGAAACAGCAGTAGGAGATCCGTAATTAACTTGCGGGCCTCAGCATTTGCTGAACGATGTGACAAATTTGAACAAGATCCTTTGAAAATTGTTTAATTTGTACTTTTGTTTGGCAGGACAAACATTTTTACTGATTGTGCTCAATATACTCCGTGTAGATGATTCTGATTAAAAATATCGTAAATGTATAGAAAAAAATGGGGTAAAATTGACGAGCTTGAGCGGACCGAGAAATGCACGCGAAGGTTTGTCGACTTACAGACGTACGAAATAACTTTACTGTCTTTTGATAGGTGTAAAATGATTTATTTTACGGTATTTATCAAAGTTTCCAAAACGATTCTATTCCCAATTCGGAGTCCGCTTATCCTCGCCGATTTTTGCCTTTCTTCAATCAACATGGGTCTTTAATATCAACATTTTTAAGCTTTTAATTTTTTCTACTGATGTTCTTCGGGTCGGTATATTATCGCTATTATTTATGTTGCTATGATCACCCATGGGGTTAATAAGGACACTAAGGAGAAACGGTTTAGGAGGTTTTTTTCAGTTTCTTACAGCCTCATGATTTGTCGGAGTGAAATTATCAACAAATTGTAGTTTAATCCTAATTTTTCAAGAAATGACCGCAACCCAGTCTAGGATTACAAGATCGAAATATTTGCAATATGAGTTGAAGTGAAATTACTTAACATTTCATTTAAAAAAGGTTGTAATAAAATAGGAATATACTATGATGTTTTCAAAATTGTGATAACCTAGACTAAAATAGACTATGATGTTTTTAGTAGATAAAATAAGTTAAAAAAATGAATTTTTTCTTAGAGTACTGATCAAATCTGACTACAGAAACGATTCTATCTTGACCTTAGGGCCCGCTTTTCTTCGCTAATTTTTGGCTATTTCGAATTAACATCGTCTCTAAAGTCAATGTCTATATGCTTGTAATTTTTGGGTACCACGTCCTCTGGGTGAGTATATCATCGCTATTATTTATCTTTCTGAAATTATCGAGGAGTTATTAAGGGCACAAAGAAGAAATTGTGAGATTAACTCCTTATGGGACTTGCAGGCCTGGTTGAGCACAACCATCTCCCAAATTTGAGCCTTGAATCTTTGATGTCTGTAAATTTATACTCCTGTTTGGTAAGTCGAAAATTTGAACCTATTGCGTTCTATTTATTTTCCATGCATATGATTTTGATTGAAAGCAGCTTAAACATATAGGATATAAATTAAAAGTGTCTTAAAATTGACCGAGAAATGAACGCAAGGGTTCAACGACTAATCAAAAACTTTACGATCTTTTGACACGTGTAAAATGAAATTTTTCATGAGTACTGATCAAGTCTGACGTGTTGCCCAAACGATTCTATTCTGACTTAAGAGTTCGCTTATCTTCGCTGATTTTTATCCCTCTTGGATCAATATGGGCTTTTGTATTCAACTTGGTATTTATTATATTTGTACTGATGTTCTCTTGGTCGTGTTCTATCACTATTATTTAATTTTCTATGATAACCATGGAGATACGAGGTCCTTAAATTCTTATATTACTTGTGGTCCACATCAGTGGACAGAATGACCTGCTAAATTTGAACGATGGTCTTTGAAGGGTAACCTTCTTCGATATTTTTTCTTACAGTACTGATCAAGTCTAACTCGTTTCAGAAACGACTCTATCCGGTCCGTTTGGGTTCGCTGAATTTTGTCCACTTTGAAATAAAATGGGTTTTTATATTTAACTATGTTCCCTGGTCTGTACATTATCGCCGTTATTTATATTTCTGCCTGCTTATGTTGTTAAGTAATCTGAAAAACTTGAACGACCTGGAAGACGGTTCGATTTATGTTCTAGTAATTAACAATGAAGACGAGCGGACCAAAGGTTTTCCTTCTGGGAAAACCTCTCTCTCTGTGCAATAGATTGGATTTATTTTTACTGTGTCCCCAGGTTAGAAACAATTTAAATTTTGGTCACGCGACCCTTCTTTTTAACAGGGTCTCATTTTTCTCCTTTTCATTTCACACTCGTGCTGAAAAATTCAACACCCCATGGCCTTCCTTCGTTCGTTCAGAAAGAGGGGTAATATTTACGAAAACTTTCTACAAATTTTAAAAGCTGCTGAATTTGAAGGGCTTCTAAAGACAATATAAGCAAAAGTGCATCTTTTGAGGTAAAAGTTTTTTTCTATATATTTACGATATTTTTAATCTTAAATTGTTTCTCTTGTCAGTTTGTAAACCGCAATTCCGTTAAATAAGTAATGCTTTATGTTAAGGGAGTAGGTGAATTCATGTTGAACTTGCAGTATGTCAATTACTGGATCCGTCCAGGCTCGCGGGTTTTGTTCCTCAAACTCATATGCATCTTCTTCAGTGAGAACTGCCTGTTTTATTGTCCCTGTAGGTCCTGTTGAACCGTGGGGTTTTATGATTTGACATTTTTAAAATTTGAATTTGAGAGTTCCATACTGGCCCGCATAGTTTCGCTAGTCAATTCCGCATCATTCCAGTTATTTTTATAAAAAAATTAAATTAAAAAATCAAATACTTCTTCATATATGATGTACAAAATCTGGGTTAGACTTCTGTTGTCTTTTTGCTTGTCAGCATTGTTACGCTCTTATCAGTTTAAGCTCATCTCTCAGCAGATCGTTACCTCCCAATGTTCTTCTCTCTCTCTATCTCTCTCAAAGTATTTGTATTTTGATCAACTGGTTTAATTAAAATTTAAACTTGGACTTCCGTTTGGTACGTCTTTACTGGTCTGCATTGTTACCTCTCATTAGATGATTATCACCTAATGTCTTCCTTCTCACTCTCTCTCTCTCTCTCTCTCTCTCTTTCCTGCAAGTATGTTTTAATTATTTGAACTTGGATCTTTGTATAGTTGAAGTCGTGAACATTAAGGTGCTGTAGGTTTTTTCCAATATTTCTCCTTGAAGTAAAGCGGTCCGCATTGTCTCGCTGGACGTTTTAAATAAAAGTTTGAAGCTGGTCTGGAAGTTTTGAGAGTTTGACTTCTTCCAACATCCTTCTCTTTCTCATTCTTATTTCCCTCACTGATTTGAATCATTAAAATCTGGGCTTGGAAATAGTAAACAAAAAAAAGTCGTGAGTTTAAGTGATTATAACTTTATTAACGACAGGTTTAAGGTTGATCTAAAAGTTTCTGAAATGTTCTTAATTGGAGCATCATTAGGATATACCTCGTGACCTTTCACATATTTTTTGGAGCAGAAAAAAGGGGCGGGTTAAAAAGTTTTCGTTATGTAGATCGAGTCGAGCAGTTTTCACGTAGGCCTGGGTTTTTTCTGACTGGTCCGCGTAGTCTCGCTGGAATTTCTGAATGCCCGGGTTTTTCGGTTTATCCCTTTCAGGTAAAACTGTAGTTTAATCCTAATTTTTCAAGAAATGACCTCAACCTTGTCCGGATTACAAGACGGAAATATTTGGAATATGAGTTGAAGTGAAATTACTCAAAATTTCATTTAAAAAAAAGGTTATAGTATGTACTATGATCTTTTGAAAAGTGTGATAACCTAGACTAAAATTATGTTTTTAGTAGATAAAATAGGTTATAATATGGTAAAGCAGTTTGAAATTGATTAAATGTTAGTTGGTATAAAACTGAAGAACAGCGAGAATAGGCGGATCATGTAAGAGTATTTTTGATCTATCAATGAGTTTACGCGATTTAAATTGAGAAATCAAAACATGACGAAAAAATGATAATCCAAGTAGACTGATTAATGATTTTTTAAAAATATATAATTGAGCAGACTCGGTGACCAACATACACCAACTTTAGACCTATTTTGTATTAATAGAGTGCATAAAAGAAAATTGTAATAATTATTAATGAACAATAATGATATACAATTAATGGATTAGATAGTCTATTAGAAAACGAGGATTTACCGTTGTTATTCCAAGTGGCTAATTGTCCAAAGTGAGTTTCGTCCATGGTCAGATCGTCGGCCGTACTGATTGCTTTCTTCCTAAATTTGACCGTCGCCCGGGTGGTTTAGGGTGCCTTTCTTTTGTCACCGGTACCGTTATGCCACCCTCCACCGCAATTTTTGGCCCTAGACTGTCCAATGTCAAGGCCTCTGGGGGAAAGTGTGCCGTTTCGAAAGTAGGTACTCCCCAGGGCGGATTTCCCTTAGTTTTGACGGGCAAAATCGGTCTCAAATTTATAAGGCAATTTTGAAAATGTTTTTGATATTTTTCTCATAAATGTTTTTATCCTGCAGTCAACATCCTAGAACCGGAATTCCGCTTCCTTACAACAATGACCTTAAAGGTGTGGAATTATTCAGAAATTACAAGACTTGATGATCTCACACCTTCCTTTCTCCCCACGCTCTCCGGGGCAATTGAGAACACGTGGGACGCTTTTTAAAATAATGTTTCAGATGTTTAGCACAATGGAAATTTTTTAATTGTACGTTAGTTGCACATTGAATACCACATGGAAGCGTCAAACAAGGATAAACCGGTTCATACTTTTACAACTCCTACTTGGTCAAGGTGTGTTTTTGAATCGATGTTTCTGTCTAAAAACATTCTTGGTTATTGTGAAACCAAATTTATTTATTGATAGGGTTGAATTGTTGTGAGATCAGATATGGTGTCTTGATTGGGAAGAAAAATGAAAAATTTGGTACAAATCAGAGAAAATAGACGGACTGATATTGTAAATATAAAATGTGAATATTGTAAACACAGAAGTGCGTACATATTTAAGCCAGCAAAACACTTAAATTATCACAATAATTTTTCAGTTGGTGTATAAGTCCCTCAAGTTTTCTGCAAATAGATCCACGACGGATTAGATTGACATAAATGTTAATCCCGGTAGTCATACCGGAAATTCTTTTACATTATTAATAGACCTGGAAATTCATTGGATTAAATATAGAATTGTAAATAGATTTCTTACCATCGCTGGAACATCTTGAGTCGACCTTTCGCCTCTTTAATTTGAGGTCTTGGAAAAGACTCATCGTGTCCAGGTCACAGGGGGCTCTTGTCAGTGTCATAATTCCTGCAAAAAGCAACAAAATATTATATAAAAAAATTCAAAAAATCATAACGGTGATGTACACATTGAAAGAACATAAAAGGCGCAACATCTCCTGCCGATTCAAACATATTTTCACCCATTTTTCTTCTATCTGGGCGTTCTGAACCCGAACCTCCGACTTTTTGAAAAATGACCGGCCAAAAGATCACGGCCCTTCCTCATTTTGCGCTAATTGTGCATTTTCTTAAGTGATAAATCGCTTGTGGTCAAGCAGAGATCAACGCCAAAATTCTTGGATTATCATTAGGCCAAATTATCCTCCGTTCTCTTCCTTATATGAGTTGGCACGACTCGCTGGAACATCATCCGAGTTATTCCGAGCCTTTGTCTCTTTAGTGGGTTAAGCTATTTTAAAATTAGGACGTCTGCCTCTATTTATTTATTTAATTGCTAAAAAAATAATTACTTATAGTTTTTCAACAACTTTAGCAGTCTCTCTCTCTCTCTCTCTCCTCTCTTTTTCCCTCCAACTAAGTATCTGCCTATTTATTCTCTATCTACATTACGTGTCAATTTGCGTTTCAATCTCAATTCTTCGACTATAAAAACATTAATCTCTCTCTCTCTCTCTCTCTCTCTCTCTCTCTCTCTCTCCCCCACCCTCCATCCCTTTCCTTCTCTCACCCTCATCTATATTTCTATCAGTCTATCTGCTTATTTATTCTCGGTCTACATTAAGTATCTATTTTCGTTTCTATCTCAATTCTGCCGCATTAAAAATCATTAAAATCTCACTCTTAGTTTCTTTCTTTCTTTTTCTCTCTCCCTCGCTCTCTCCCATAAAACGTCTCTTAAAGTCGGAGAGTGCAAGAGTAGTCAATTTTGACAATTTTTTGCGAGTCAATCACTCTTTATCTCTAACTATTTCCTCTCTATCTATATTGTATAAACTATTTTCCCTATAAAGGAGGGAAAATTCAAAAGGTGCGGTTGAGATGGGAAGTTGGTGTCCGAGTGGATCGAGGTCACGATAGCTCAAGTGGTAGAGCAGCGGCGTATCAAGCCGAAGATCGTGGGTTCGAATCCCGCTCGTGCCATTGACTTTTTTTATCTCAACTGAAAACCTTAATTAATATTGTATAAACTGGTGAAAATTGTAAAGGGATATTTGAAATTTATATTATTCTATTAATTTTAATTAATACAATGGTGTAATGGTCTGGGTATACATTGGAGGACGAAGTGGATTCCACAGTGTTGAAGGCAACCACACCGCATTTCGTTAAATTCAAGAAATTATCGAGGAATACGTCCCCAAAAACCGGGGATCTCATTGGCAGGGATTTTCCATTTCTGGATGACAATGCCAGACCTCAAGGAGGCGGAGTTGTTTGTTCATCAATATTTAGAAAACCTGGGAATTTCCCATCTGCCTCTTCCCCTATTGTCTCCAGACCTCAATCCCATTGAGCACATGTGAGATGCGTTGCAGAGGAGGCTCTTCGATCACCATTCGCACCCAGTTGACCTGCAACAACTGCGTGCAGCGTTGTAACATCTATGGAATGAAATTCCTTATGAAATCAGTGACAACCTTATTAACAGTATGCTTAACAGGTGCACATAGTTCATATAGCTAAAGACACACTCAGTATTAATTGTTTAAAAAAAATATTGTGTCCAGTAAACAAAATTATAGAATTAACCCTTTTATTTTGTAATTTTTCAAAATCCATTAATTATATTTTCCTTCATACATAATAATTTCTAATAAATTTTAATGCAATTTATAATAAAAAATACAAGTGCTAAAGAAAATAAATTCTACAAAATTGGCAATTCTCTATTCATCCAGCAGGTTAGTTATTCGTATCTTTTTTCCTTTCTGTGCTATAAATAATTTCTGATATAGTGTATGCTTAATGAAGTATTTCTTGTTATATTATATTCCTTATTTTCTTGTGTCTGTGTATTTCTTGCCTCTATTGACTTACACATGATCTTCGCACTCTTTATTTTAACTTCTCTCCTCTATTCTTATGTTCTTGTCCACTCCTCTCCATCACATACTTTATTTTTCTCTATTTATGTCTTTCCCTCTCACTCTTTCTCTGCTCACTCTCTCTCTTTGTATATTACTATCAGAAATGATATATTTCTCGCGCTAATAGTAAATAATAATAATAATCCGGCCCGGAAGGCCAAATATTTACTGTTGAACGAGTAAGCGTTGTGTTCAAACTGAAATGATAATTTTATCATAATATTGTTTCATGCACTGTATTTTCAGGGATTTCTGAAATTATGAACCGCATCCATGAAATATAACTAATGATTTTATACTGCTCATAGTGCACATACCCGCTCTAGTTTGTTGTCTTTAAATTGGCAGATTCGGATCGTGTACGATTGGCCTTGGTTGATTTTTCACAGCGTGCGCGCCCTACTTGTTAACTATTTTTCTCCTCCCTTCGTCGGCCGTCATGAGACGAGGAAGGCTTCGGACCGGACGGCGGTGATCGTGGGGAAAATTTTTGTGCTCCTTACAAGAACATTAATATTTCACTAGATACTTCGTCGGTGGTGTTAAATCTCCGTAAAAACACCGTGCAGCCAATTCGTAACAGTCGACACTTGGATGAAGTCCAAAATTACTTACAGTGTATATTATTTTTTGATGATTGAGCGAATATCCAGCCTGGAGGACTAAATATTGTTAGTCAGACATGCTAAAATGAACTAGGGAACTATGAAGGTACAATAAGACAGAAGGCTGTAGTGCCTGGGGAGCCCAAACCCAGCTTCCTGGTATCTATCATCATCCACCCAAGTGCAATAAATGCATTAGGCGCAACTGAATTATTACGGAGATTTTCTATGCTCAAGAAGGAGCAGTCTGCCTTGAAATATATTCAAATTTGTCGAAGGAAGTTCTGTGCAATCGACACAATCCTTTATATATATATANTATATATATATATATATATATATATATATATATATATATATATATATATATATATATATATATATATATATATATATATATATATATATATATATATATATATATATATATATATATATATATATATATATATATATATATATATATATATATATATATATATATATATATATATATATATATATATATATATATATATATATATATATATATATATATATATATATATATATATATATATATATATATATATATATATATATATATATATATATATATATATATATATATATATATATATATATATATATATATATATATATATATATATATATATATATATATATATATATATATATACAGCCGTTTCTTCGCATTCGAAAGTGATATGGGGGCTGTTCTTCCTCCTCTTTGGATTCTGCAAATGGGATCATCGTTGAATATGTCCATGTTATAACAGATTAACTGTTAACAGTTACCACCAACATCTTACTATAAATGTATTTATTGCAAGGCAACCCTGCTCCCTCTTGAGCATAAAAAATTTCTTTGCAATAGTTCAGGTGCGTTGGTTAACGTCCCTAATACTGTTCGTTACTCAGCCAAAAGTTGGTTGTTTCTTCCGGGTCATTTAAATTATTTCTTCTATCATCAAACTTGGGATTATTAATATAAAGTTTTGTACCACCACAGACCTTTATTAAAATTTAATTACGAGGAAGTATATAATTTTTTTCGTAGTGAAAAGATAACCTCGCCAAAAACGAAAAAGAGGATTTGACCAAAAACTATTCTTAATAAATTCTTTCGCAAGACAGCGAGATTTGGTCGAAAATCTTCAACGAACAATAATATTACATCGAACATCAAGTTACTATGAAATTTGATGGATCTAATAAAAATGGGTAAACCTCAAATTTGCACTACTGCATTACGCTTACACGTTTAACAAAAATATATGGTCCTCCGGGACGGATCAATTTTTTATCTCACTCCAGATGAATATCGATTCTAATAGTAATGTACAAAGGCTATTCTATAGCAAACACAAACTTAGAAAAACACGCTTAGCACAAGTTATTAATAAATTTGGTTCATAAATGGTACCTGGCGTATTTTTTACTCCGATTAATCGAGTCACGAAATACTTCGTTAATAATTCATTAACACGAGATTACCCGAACTCGAAGTACTTATTTTTGTTACTTTTATCCTCTACTTCCTGGTTTCCCCTTTACGATGCTTAGTGAGTCAGGAGGTAAGAAACTGACTCATCGATGGTACCGTTAGCTCATTTCGTCCACTTTCTCACCGCCTAGGATGTACCGTTGATGTTTCAATGATTCTTATGATGAATTTTGTCCATACACACACACACACACACACACACACATATATATATGTTAGTGTTGATATTGTTAGTAAACATTAAGCTTCCTGTTGTTCCTTTATATTTTATTTTTGCAACATCCTCTGAGATATCAACATCAAGAAGGCGAGAGGTTTATTTGCTAGGCATATCTTTGTGTCTCCGCCCATTTGATTCGATTCATAATTCTGTACACTCCTTTTTCCGATTGTGCATCCTGACGGCCGTTGAAACAATGGAGGAATCGGATGCAGTCCTTGTCGTACTCGCAATCTGGGGCAGGCAGATTTTCCCGGTCGTGGTTCACTTTCTATCGTCGCACTTTCACCTGTGGTTCCCTTTCGGCATCGCTCTCTTCCTTACGGCGTTTTATATAACCGTGAAAGTCTTTCGGGTGCGCTCGCCGGAAATCCGCCGTTGCAAGGCGGACCCGTTTCGCGCAGGGCGCCGTGATTCACGGCCTAAATTTAAATCATGGTTGATTTAAATTTAATGTCGAGATGTTTTCAAAGGAAGGAGGAAAACTAGCAAGAATAAAAGCATTTCCTTTTTTCCTAACGGTTTAAAATAAAACCTGAATCATAGGACTGTGCAATCCGAAAATGATCCTCATGAGTCTAAAAACTAACCTTTCTGTCATTACCAACTTCATTGTCACTATTCCCCATCAAATCCCTCTAAAAT